CTGACTGTAGACCTGGAATAGGTGCTATGAGATGATATAGAGTCTCCATCCTTGGAGATTTTCCAAGTTGGACTAGACATGGCCTTGGGCAACTAGTATTGCTTTAAGTCAGTGATTCTATGCTTTACATCTCTTGAAGACCCAGAGGCAATTCCAGCAGCTGGCTTAGGTAGTGGCAAGGAATACGTTCCAAGAGTGAGTCAGAGGGGATAAGAAGAACCAGACAGGGTAGTGGATAAATTTGAACCCAAAGAAGTGAAAGAGTGAGAATGAGGAGAGTGATTTCAGTGGCACTGTAGTCAGAAAACCAACACTCTGCATTTGTCAACAGTTCCCACATCATGCTATTTGAAAAATCACATCTAACCACAGAGAAGAAACTGGAACATCTCAGCTCTATGTAATAACTCATGGCAAATGTTTGCTTTTGAAAAGGAACACTCACAGTTTCCTTTGGCACTCTTTGCCAATAGGACCATAAAGTCTGAATTTGACTGTAAGATTGCTGCTGCTAGAAATATCTGAAATACCTGCTTGTCCAATGCAAATACCACTCTGCAGCTTGCTGTGTGACAGGGCTCATGGTGAGGCAGCTCATGTGACAAGAAAGCTGAAACTCTTTGGCTGTACAAAAGGAGTTTCACACCTAGGAGAGTTCCTTTGAGAGCTAAGTTCCCTGGATAGCACACTCCCCAGCTTCAGTGCTGAACAGTCCATGGGTGAGCTGGCACTGATGTGTTACTGAGCTTTAAGGCCTGAGGTACAGCCTGAACTGTAAAGAAGCCCAAAGCAAAAAACCCACACCAAAACTCAGCAACAACAAACATGTGGAAAAGTATTTACTTTTCTTTTACTTGGTGGATTTTCTGCCAGTGAGCTGGCTCACTGTAGAATCAGATAAGCATCAGTGCTAGCACAAGGGAGGGAGGAAGACCATATGGCCAGGGATCTGAGAGATAGGAAGGTGGGAGCACAGCATCATCATTTTGTATATGCTTATGCTTCTAGAGCACTGCACAACAAACATGTGGAAAAGTATTTACTTTTCTTTTACTTGGTGGATTTTCTGCCAGTGAGCTGGCTCACTGTAGAATCAGATAAGCATCAGTGCTAGCACAAGGGAGGGAGGAAGACCATATGGCCAGGGATCTGAGAGATAGGAAGGTGGGAGCACAGCATCATCATTTTGTATATGCTTATGCTTCTAGAGCACTGCAACATCCTTGCATCTGCATTCCTTTGCATCAGAGAATGCTATGAGTTTATCCTTGGTGAGGCTTTGGCACAATAAATTGTATACTTGACTTACAAGAAATATATTCTAGCTGCCAATTCTGTATATTAAGTCTCATGCTTAAACTTCTGATTTCAGTTATCTATACTTCCACTTCTAGTCTGATCCTCAGATGAGACACTCAGAATTAACATTGAATTTTGAAAATATAAGCCTGAGAATTGAACAGGAGTTCTGGCATTTCATGTATCATTACCAGTAATGAAGACACACAGTTTGGGTACTTAGTGACATCAGTGTCTTCAAAATGCACAGATGTAGCCAATTAAATCTTAGTAAATAATTTTGTTGAAGAGAAGTACACAGAGAAATACAATCTAGTTCCCTTTTTCTATGGTGCATTATGTCTGCAGAGCAAACCGAAGTCCAATGCAAAAAGAAATTGTATTTGTCATTTTAGAGTCAGTACAAATAACTCCAAGTATACTTAGGAAGCAAATCTGTGCTCTCTCTAATGACTTCTCTGCAGAGAACTGCGCATTCATGCTCCTAAAGTTCAATGTATTTAAGGTAATCATTTCCTTCTGCCTCTAAAAAGCGTTATTGTTGGCACAGAAAACATGCACATGCTTTCTTGCATGATTTGCTGAGTTGTAATATACAGGGAGAAGTGTATTAAAGAAATTTGTTTCCAAGGCAACAAAGTTGCAGACCTTGAAAATTTTAAAAAGCAAGGTAGTTCCTTTAACCCTTCTGAGTATGAGTGAGCCCCTTTAACACTTTTCTTTTTGCCAAGAACCAATGCGGGCATGTACCAGATCACCAAAGGTTCCACACAAGAAAAGACATTATATCTCAATTTGGAAAAGGCACACTAGTGAAACTCATAGAATGCAACAGAGCTCCACTGAAGTCACTGTAAATGAAGCCATAGAAGAGCTGGGAGAGAAGAATTTCAAACCAAGTAAGAAAAGGAAAATCACCAAGTCAAATTCTCAGGCAAAAATACACAAAAAAATTCAAAATATGAGAGAGTCTTCTTACCCCATACACCTTCTTGGCTCCTGCCTTTGCAGCAAACATGGAGAGGATTCCTGTGCCACTTCCAACATCAAGGACAATCTTATCTTTAAAAACATGTTTATTGTGATACATAGAGTTTCTATAGGTTAATGTGCGCACTTCATCTTTTAACATTTCCTGTGATGGAAATAAAAGCATTGTGTTATTATTTGAAGTACTTATATGCATTCAAGACTGCTGCTGAATGCATTCCCTTGTTATAATTTAAGCATTATTAATACACAACTTGAAGAGTTTTTCAAGTACTTTGGGGTGCACACATCAAAGCAACTGTAAAATGCTAGGTACTTAGAACTGAATTATTAAGAAGCAGCATGGATTCCTTTGTACAATTTTATTTCTCTATTATTTCACTGTTACAATTGACAACCAGAATGTAATCTCACCACAGCACTGCTTTGGGAATAGACAGAAGTCATACAGAAATCCAAGCATTGCTTTTCTCCTAAATCATGCACACCCCAGAACCTCAGTGGAGGGAGCTTCTGAGGTTCCTTTTTGAACACAAAAGAAACCATTCCATAAATGATTTTAAGACAGCAGTCTTGATAGCCTTGCCCAAAGGAAGGCAGGAAGTCCATAGCAGAGCTTAGAAATCCTGTGCTGTGTGGTCCTCCCTTACTGTTCTTCTGTTCACTCAGTTATATGACCAATTTCCAGAAGATATAAATGTATAATCTAGACTACTATCTCACTATTTTAAGTTGCCATTGTGCTGATGATACCATTAGGTATCATTAGGTGCTGATGATACCATTAGGTGCTGATTTTTGCTTCATTGGGACAGCAGTACCTGCATTTAATTCCACTGATACCTTGCTCTCAGCTGTGCGTATGTCAGTCAAACTATATCAATAAAGAGGACTCAGGTCAAGACCCAAGTGCCTTTCTTAAGAGAAGTGTAGGCCATTCAATATACACTTACATTTTCTCAAAATGCTTCTGTTACATCTAGAATGCTGAACTTTTGCTTATACTACTGCCCTGATTTCACAGTTTAAGCAGGTAGACAAACGCGTATTTGAATTTCAGGATATAAAGAATCAGTTCACTACTCAGGCACTAGTGAACTGTATTGTTACATTCATCAGTTGCTCACTTACCTGTCTTGGCAGGAGACCATGTGTACTCAATAATTATGGATGAATAAAAGGCTATTTTTATCATAAAACATAGTGTGGTATCAGGCAAAGTCCACCAGCACTGGAAAGGTGATAGAGCACACCCTCATGGAAATTGTTTCCAGACATATTAGGGACAAGAAGGTGACTGGGAGTGCTTAGAATGGATTTGAAGATGACCAACCACCTGATATCTTTCTCACCAGGAGTCAATACAGATGCCTTTTGGCCTTTCTTTTCAGGTGGATTCCATCTCTTCCTAGCAGACCTCAGTCCTCAAGGAGGATGCCATAGACATAAAAGCTGAAAATCTGTCATTGACACCAACTGCACAACCTGGACCTGTGGGAGCCCTTGTCCTCAAGTCCTTATTTGTGCTGTTAGAATTGAGGCAAAAAACCACCTGGCACACGGTGCTGTTGATCATCATCCTAGGAACCAGCTAGTCACACTTGATATGATCCAGGTCTATTGGTGCTCATGCAGAAGAGTAGCAGTAGTAGTCCAAGGCTGGTGTAAGGGCTGGACAAATGTCAGGAGCCTTGTCACAATGTCCAAGATCCAAACGCCTTGGCAGAAGGTCTTGTCAGCAGATGGGGACCTCTGTCCCCTACAGGAGAGACCCTTCCACTGCTATCCCTTGTCACTTGCTCCCAGTGCTTCTGAGTGGCTTAAGGCCAACTGTTTCTGATGGTTTGCTGGACAGAACTTCCCGCACCTCATCTACAGTGAAGACACTGACCCTATTCTGTAGCGAGAGATCTGCAGGTGGATCAAGAGCCTTCCTGTTACTAGAAGTCACAAGTTTCCAGTCTTCGCCATCAGAGGAGTCTTTGATTCCAAAACTGGTAAGTACAGGCTCTGACTGCCCCTCCCTTCAGTACAGTTGGGGATTTAGGGTCTTGTGCCTTTAGGCTCTCAGAGAAGATCCAGTCAGTCTCCTCCTCATGTCCCTGATGCTTCAAAGTCTGCCAGGCTCCTCTAGCAGCCCCTTTACTTGTTGACACAGATCCTCTACCGGTGCACATCTCCTGCAGCCAAGGAAATCTCCCACTTTCCAGCCTCAGCTAGAGGCCCCAGGTATTCCTTGCACTCCCTGAGACCTACATGGCTGTATCAATCTGATCTGAGATCTCTGATGTGTCTTCAAAATTTCTCTTAAGTCTCCTTCCCACTCAATTGTTCCTCTATCTTCTCCCATTCCTGAATTGAATTTCTGAATGCTACTCTGGCAAGATGTATTGGCAGACAGAGATCTTATTTTTATGTATACACCCCACAAACAATTGCTAGAGTAATGGAAATAGATATTGTTTGTTATAGAGTTTGTGAAAAGTGCCACTGATTCATTTCATGTTGCTGCCTTTTTGCATCCTAGTCTTAAAGATCGCATCCTCCTGGGTCATGTAAATATCAGTCAGGCAAGACATCAGTGTCTTCTTTAGAACTGGTCTACTGCCAACTTTTTGATGACAAATATGGTCCACTGTGTACTTTGAATTCTTTCCAGGAGTAATTTATTTACTGGAGGTGATTTGGCTTAATGTTCCCATCAAGGCAGCCTGTGCATTCAAGTAACATGCCAAAGGTCAAGAAACAACTTGGCTTCTCATGTCAGTTTAGTAGCTGTTCTGCTGACATCTATGCCCACATATGCAAAAGAAAAAAAGATCTAACTTAGCAATAAGATAGTTTCCATGTGTGGTTGGGTTAGTTTGCAGCCCTCATAAATGCACTCAGGAAGCTCACCACTGTGCAGACAGCTACTATACGCTCTGTGAAGAACTCATATGTAAGAATCTAAGTAGGACAGAGGTTTTGAGTACAGGTCTCTAGAGATGTGGATGATATCTTTGGCACTTAACCAGATTATATATTCATCTGAAAAAAGGCAGAGGAATATAATTACAAGCAAATGGGATGGGGATAAATAAATAATAAATCAAAGAAAACATTATTATTATTGTTGCTATTATAATTACTATATGGTTATTTAGTAATTGCTGAAATAAAAAGAAGCATTACCTCATGAATTCCAAAGTGAGCATAGGAATCAAAGTAGTAATCCCTGGATGTCATCTCTTCTGGATTGATGAGCTTTGCCATCTTGCCTCGGCCCGGGCAGCTTGGTTGCAATGGAACATGTATGACAGATTGAACTGGCTTTGGAACAACAGTAGGCTGTGGAGGCTGGGATGGGATGGGACAAACCTAGGAGAATATGGAATACCGTTAAGAAGCCTCATTAAAAGAAAACATTTATCTCTATGTGTAGCATAGTCATACTATTGCAACTATCTAGGAGCTAGCAAGTCCAAATACACTTGGGGTATCATAAGTGAACTTTAGGCTGCCTTCTCTTCCTGGATCTTTAACTTCTTTGCTCTTTCTTGGAAAATCTTCTTAATGGATTTTTATGTGATGTTCCTCAGCAGATAATGATATAGGCGCAGAGTAATGGCAAACTACTGGTGTTGGTTGAAGTGGGTGACTCCAAATGTTGACAAAAAGCAGTGAAGAGACAGGATTACTCCTTTAGTGTCTCATTCTGTCAAACCACCACAGTGAGAGGTAAGTTGTAGAATTAAACATTTCCCCTGCAAAGAAGAGCTCATAATCATAGGATTTTGAACACAGTGTTGCCTACAAGGAGGACAGGATTCACAATTGATTGTTAACTGTCAGGTAATGTCCCTGTCTGTATGGATGAGGTAGCTCTGAGAATGCTCATAATATCTGAAAGTCCCTGATGCTATCTCAAAGTCTCTCAGCATGTCCAGAAAGCACTGCAGGGAGTTGTGTGCCATATGTGATCTCTTACTGTAGTTTCCTGGTTTTGGGAGATGCAGGAGTGAATGTGTTACCAACAAACGCTGGCCCACCTCACTTAATTGTTTTGTTGTGTATTGTATCTCAAATACCAGTGTATCAATAGACACAGAATCCTCACATTCCCTTGACTCAGATTTGATGTCTGTAACATGTAAGACAGAAGACAGAATGCTTCACAAACATAAGACAGAACAGACCATGGTCTGGTCCATCCTCGATGTGAAGCAAAATGCTGAAAACTGAGAAACTCTGAGCAATATACTACAGCTTCACATATGCACCGAGTCACCTGCAAATTACGGGTCAACAACTTCATATATTAAGGTCAATCCCACTAAAAATATGTCATCTCTTCTTGTATTTTTTTTCAAGATTTAGTAGTTTCCCAGTGGGGATCAGAGTTGTCTGAGCCTCTCATAGTTACTTTCATAAAGTTTGCTCTATTTTCTATAGCCTGGCACTGTGAGATATCAATCCCTTGTACTCTCTCTGAATAGCATCAATTAGCCTAGTTCAGTTTGCTTCAATATAAAAAAAAATCCAACAAAAAACTCCCCACATTTTTTCCCCTGTTCATTTGAAGATTCAAATGTGTCATCTTTTGATGGTTTCTCTGTTCATCTGTGAAAAATTAATACTAGTGGTTTATGTTCCTGTAACACCTTTCATCTCCAAAGATCCAGAAGAGCTTTATTTATACATCTCTTCTATTTCTGACATTTTTTACTTTATCACCTTACCCAGTTCACTTCACCCAGTTCACCTCCCACACAGAATACAATTGTTCCCAACTGCTGTTTGTATTTCTGTCTGGTCTAGTTTCAAATATGTCCATCCGCAGTAATTTCTCTTAAGGGATTCTCATTGCCTGTTCGTTGCAAGCAGGACCTTGATAGCTCATTCTGTCAAAGTGTTGCTTGTAATATCCAACACTTTCAAATACAATCCTGCTAGTTTTAATTACATACTTGAGGTTGTATCCTAGCTTTTTTCTCCATTGCTGTACACAGTATCTAATTTTTACAGCTACCTTGCCCAGTAGTCCTTTCTGTACTTGTCTGCTGGATTACAAAGACTTAAACCGCAGATGTTCAGAATTTTGTTTTATTTTAATATGAACTCTGGAAGGTTTTACACTTCTCTCCTAAATCTTATCCTCTGCATCATTTTACAAGAAAAGAATGTAAATTTACATAAATTACAAAATCAAAATATGTAGTACAGTATCTGAATGATTTTGTTTCCTGTAAAGAATTACCATTGTTATCTCACAGTCTGTAAGACAACTGAATTCTGCTACAGCCAAGGGGTGGCAAGATGACTTTTACTAAGCTACTGAGGCAGTATTGCTCCTTTGACTTACAGCACTTTTCAAGTTTATCTAAAGTACCTGAAGACTTATTGCTCTCAACTATCCCTCTACATCTCTGCCAGAAAGCCCATATCCCATGTAGCAGAGGTAGAAGCCTATTGGGTCTGCTTCTCAGATGCCTTAGTCTGTGGCCAAGCAGCCCATGCACACTAAAATGTGTTGATAGTGGACGTGTGACATTAGGCTGTGAGTACCATTAGGTCCCGTGCTGTCCATCTTGTACTATGGGCATCATAGCCTCATGCAGAAAGGGTAACAGAAAACTGAATAGAGCTAGTGATCTTCTCAGTCACCAGCACTCTGTTGCAGGGACCTTAAATCAGATGCATCATTTCTATTTTAGGCATATTAACACAACACAGATCTTTCAAATTAAAATGATGTCATTTTTGCAGCACCTGTAATACCCACAGAAAAAAAATTCAGAGTGTAGCACTGTAATTTTGAAACTTCATGACAAGGTCACAATTGCAAGAATAGCTTAGTGGGTAGGGCTCAGGAAACCCCCCTGTTAGAAGTTTGCTATAGATTCTGTGAACAGTTTTGGCCAAGAGTAACTCACGTCCTGCAAAAGCAAATATATGGGGAAAACATATAAACACAGTGGGCAATTATAGAATAATTAAAAGTAATGAAAGCTATTATTTGTATCGGAAACAATAAAGTCTTCAGGTGCACAGCTCTGTGATTGCTAAACTAGAAACAACATTTTAGGGATATGGAAAACTGCTTTAGAAGAAAACATGCCTCTGAGAGAAAAGTTATCAAGGAAAGACAACTTCCTGCATTCTTTCCAGAACTGAAAAAATCCTTGATATGATTTACAAGCTTAGCACATATATATACCCTACCTGAGCAACAACTCATATTTTGAATAACACCTGAAAAAGCAAAGCTTCTGGTCTGGGGATAAACCTCAAATCAGTGTAAATAATTTAATGAACTTTCCCTGAAGAACCCATGTATGGATTCTGGCCAGCTGCACACAGTTCTGGAACACTGGCCACTGCTTAAGTCTGAAAGAATGCAAGTAGCTGCCTCAGAATTCATTTGTCACCATGCTAAATATGCAGCCCTCTATTCTTCCATCTCCCATTTACTTCTGAAGATAGAGTTGGAGGGTCTGAAGGATTTATGATGCAATCTTTTTTTTTATCACTTTTTTTCACACTATAGGTCTTATGTCCTACTGCTCTGTACCATTTCAACATTTAAATAGAGGAAATTAGGGAAATATTTCCCTACTTTTAATAATTAAGTAAAGTTTGTTTCCTCTTTCTTTGTGGACAAGGTTGGTAGATTGTAGATGCATCAAATGTACTAGAACAGTACTGCTTTTTTTAAAATTTTGAATTCTTACGAAAGGCAAGATTTGTAAACTTCATTCATTTCTCATTCTCACATCTGAACATCTCAGCATAGGTTTCTCAAATACATGTAGGCAACTCAGTGACAGATGTGACTTTCAGCTATATGGAGCTAACCATGTGCATCCATGGGCAGCACTGAAATTCCTCTTTGAAAACTGGACCTAATTCAACATGGACTTACAGGCTATCTGGGTGTACAAGTCCTATGATACAAAAGAGAACCAGCCATTCAAAGATCATAGGCTAGTTTTGAAAATTTGAGCCTTTTAGATATATCCATCTGTCTACAGAGAGGCAAGATGGTCAACTATGCACAACTGATTTTTTTAGGTTTGTGACAAAAGCTGTGGTATTTAGAGTAAAAATAACCTTGAATTTCAATGCTCCTTTCTCAATATTACTATGGAGACACAGGGCTGGAGGTTAAAATTCCAATCTTTGCAAAACTGCCGTTGAAGCTGCAGTGTTTTCTCCTTGACAAATTCTTAGTTATTTATGACAGTTTTATGGCATTGCCTGGAAATGTTTACCTTTTCATTAAGAAACGAATTAAGAATGGAATTATAGTTTAATATTATTAAATTCCAACATTATCTTCTTTTTAAACAAATGGTTTTATCATACCTAAATGTTCATAATACTTATTTCTTGGGTCAGATACCATTGTGTGTCAGATCTACCAGAATAGCATATGCCTAGCACCATTTTCATTAGTCTAAATTTAATAACCAACACCTTTAGTGTGCAAGAGATTATCAACTGGCATGCAATCACCATAGCAATCCCAACAATGCAGCTTCTTTCTGCTGCAGATGTAGAGGCATAGCTAAATATAAGAGCTGTGTGGTATCCTCCTGCCAAAATTCAGGCTTCTACAACAGCTTCTTGGAAGTCATTACGCAATGGTACAGGTTAAAACCTCCCTTGATTCCTATATCTTGTATTGTTTTGAAGTCTTTGTCCAACATTTATCTTAAGTGATCATTGGATTAAGCAAACAAAGAATCTGGTCTATTATCAGAGAAGTTTTAATCTGATGTTCTGAGGGAATGAAGCTGCTACACTATATTGTCTGTGTCTCCGACTGATAACTTTTGAGCTTGTCCAATCCACCGTAATTTGACAGAAATATCAAACACATTCATATTCCTATACATTTCTTGAAAAGCAAAAATAAGGTAGCAAGACCCACTAAAATTGAAGCAGCTACATTTCAGTTGTCATGCTTTCTACTTGCTCCAGGTTTATGAAACCAGCTGGCTTGTGTTATACTTGTAATGTGTAGTCTCCAAACTAACCATACTGGGTGATGAAGGCATAAGAAGAAGACTAGGCATTGCTCAGAACTAAGCTGGGAGACGAGGGCATAAAGAGCACATACTTGCAGGAAACAAGGTTTCGATAGCTCCTCTATTCATGGAAAAAACCTTTTAATGCTAAGGACGTGCAGTTCACAAGGAATGCAAAATGGCCAGACATAAAAAGGTTCCATAAAAAGACGAGATGAGACAAACACCCAACTGCAGACAGATGTAACTGCTTGGAAACAAGGATGTTATATATTTCATTATATATATTCAAAACATTAGGGACATGTTTTCAGGAAGCAGGGCTGCGGAAGTAAGACCAGTAAAGAA